TCCTGAGCTGGAAAAGGACGAGCATGGAGCAGTCCAGACAGGCCTCCAGCTGGCCCAGCAGCTGCTCTGGGACCTGAATCCCACCCCTGGGAGCTCCTGGTGGCTTCGTGTGACCATGGAATGTCCTGTCCTGCTGTCACCGAGCTCATCAGCTGCTCCCACAGCCCTAAGAAAATCCACCCCATTTCCTCTGTGTCAGGAGCATTCCCAAAATGCTTTTGGAGCAAAAAGGGCGCGTTTTGTTTGACTCTGTGTTAGGTTACTTCCTCTCCCTCTGTAACGAAGATAGCTCAAAGCGACAGTCAAACAGAGAGGAAATAAAGGGAGTTATGAGGAGAAATAAAAAAGGGTTTATGATCACTTTTCCCACCCACCACGTCCTCGCTGGCTGCTCCTTCCTCCCAGCCCAGCTTCCAGCTGCCAATAACTCACGGAGCATTTCCAGCACCAGCCCTGGGCTGCTCATCTTCCATCCCCCTGCTCTGGCTGCACACTCCCAGCTCTGCTCGGCTTCTCCTGCACCTGAAGCCTGCTCCAGGTCTGGGTTTCCTCCTCCCAAGGGAAGGAGCCGGCTCCCTTCAGAGGCATCTCCTGACTCCGCCACTTTTATTGGAGAGACCTGCCACACACACACACGGAGATCAAACAGATGCTGTCTGTCACAGAGCTTAGAGCCTAATTACAGAAGATTACAGAAACTATTTATAAATATTTATACCCATTTAAATATATTTATAAACGTATCAGGATTGGATAAAAGTGTATATTGTTGTTTTAGCTTAAGACACAACCAAGTATCTTTTATACAATGCTCATACAATAATCATATATTTGTATTAAGCTGCTTTTTGACGAACATGGACAGCAGCTGTTAACATTTGAATTGCTGTTAATACAAAGTAGGTTGGCTGAGGAGGATGGGTGGATGCTCAGGAGTCTGGAGCAGCAGAGCAGGAATCTTCCCCTTCTGGATCCAGAAATCCGCTGCATTCATCCAGAAGGAGACTGGAAATACAGAAGAAGGTGATGGATCTTTTTTTCACCCTCAGTTTGCTGGTTTATTTTGGCAGATTAGAGCCTTGCCTCATCTCTCACCTGGGGGAATTTTTCCACACAGTTCCTGGTGCTGCTCTTCCCACTGGAATCCTCTATCTGGGAGCAGCACTCAGCAGGTGGAATACCTGAGTCACACCAGGGGAACACCTGAATCACACTTTGCTGTCACCCACAGGTCCCCCAGCCTCCCAACTCCCCGTTTTGGGGCTCCCTTTGGCCCCCAGGAGGCTCCATGGCACCTCCAGGCCTGTGCTGCTCTCTGTGCAGCAGCTTTGCCTCTTTGGCTGATGCTCAGGAAAGGCTCCAGCAAAAACACTTGGAAGATCCCCTGTGATTTCTTCTTTCCTTCCATTCAGCCTCCTGAGGCAGACCATGTGTGTGCTATCCAGAGGTGTGCTGGGCATCTTGGGTCACAGCTGGCAGAGGCTGTGCTCCCTGATCCAGGTGTGTCCAGGAGGGTTGGGAGATGAAGGCTGTGCTCCCTGATCCAGGTGTGTCCAGGAGGGTTGGGAGATGAACCTTTCAGTGTGTTCTTGTGGAAAACACGACTCAAACCTCGCCCTCGGCACCCAGGAGCAGCCAGTTAGCCAGGGGGATGTGGGCTGGGGGGCCTGGCCAGAGCTCTGGAACTGCCCTGATGTGGGAATCTGGAGGAGGACGCGGATGGAAGTGCAGGAGGAAGCAGCCAAGTGAAATTTGGGAAGTGCTGGAGAAAAGGCAGCTTGGAGCTGCAGCAGGGAGCTCTTGGTGTGAGCTGCCCCTCGGTGCCCATCCT